GCTCTGAGTGGCCACAGTCAAAGCTCTACCTCAGAGAGAAAGCACGTCCACACTTTTATACTTGCTTCGTTATTATGCTAGAGCTATATTTTTAGACACTTTACACACAGAGTCAGCAGTGGGGAACAGTGTTTCTCAGAGTCAGGGCTGTCATTGGGAGGTTCGGAGACAGGCTAGATTTGTGGAAAACAAGCCTGGAACTCACGTCGGCGCACCGCGCCGCGACCTCCAGCCTCCGCTGAAGTCTCCGCTAAAGTCTCCACTAAAGTCTCCGCTAATAGTACTTCCCACAGATGCATTTTCATGCCTCCCGTAATCACCAGTTACCAATCATCAGTAACGTGTTGGAGAAGCCTTGTCTTGTGTGTGTTAGATGAGAGAGTGAGCGAGCAGTGGAGATGAGAGGGAGAGCAGAGGAGGGTCGCGGTGACGCACTTCACCTGAGGCGCGCGTCTGGGGAGACTGCTCACAGCAGCATCATGATCAGTGAGGGCGGTTCCCGGCTCAAAAGTGGCCAAAATGACGTGCGCTGACATGCTTGCAATACCACCCCGGGCCGATGGGGGTGGACCCAGAAGAAGAATTAGCCAATGCTAACATATAGCATTGGCAGACCTCTCGAAAACGTCTTTACAGGATGGTCCAAAAGTTGGCTCTTGGCCCAAAGCTCCGTTCCACATGTGTGTCAATGCTGAGGGGGTGATTTTTTTGGACCACTCTAGTTTAGTCGCTGTGAATTTTTGAAGTCTCTCGTTCAAATCAATGGAGTTGCGCCGGCTGACGCATGCGCAGATGCATTTTTTCACAATTTTCTTGTGGGCGGGACCACTCGCGGCCATTTTGGATTGCTCCAGTAGAGCACATTTTTTGGCCCATTAGTTAGAACGGCGGAGATTGGCGTGACTCTGTCCGTTAATATATACAGTCTATGATCATGATTGTATTTTTTACTATTTCCCTGAACATATTCAAAGTTACAGTGTGTGCTCTGTGTGTGTTCATCAATATGAACACACAATATGTTCAATATGTCTGTCAGTTAGAAAAATAAAAATATTGTATAAAAATTCTAAAATCCACGATTTCTAACGCCATATGACGTCATAATATGCAATTTAGATGGGTGGATTTGTTCTCTCCATAAACTTTGGACCATCCTTAATATTTTTCTAATTTACAGAAAGCCTTTATCTCTTATCACTTTTAAGTTATAGCTTTTTGAAATAAATAAAAAATCGAGTCAAAATCGAGCGTTTTAGAGAAAAACCTCTGGCACTTAAAGGGTGATAGCGTTGTTGTTGAATATTGTAGTTTTAATCATTAGTTAGTTGCTTTTATTGTTAGATTAGCTGAATTTAGCTTAGGACTTTAGTTAGTATGACTAGTTCTATATCGTGTGCAATTTCATTGTATATTGGTTATTGTACTTGTGTACAATAAATACTACTTTATGTTTGAGCGTGTGTTAAATTACCCTCTTTTGCGCACATTGGGGTATCATTTCTATCCAAAAAGCCTTCGGGGTTTACATGCAGCACAAGTTTTCCCTCGGGGACAAAGAGATGCAGTGGCCGCAGGTTATTGTGGCAGAGTTTAGAATTTTGTAACTATATGACCCCACAACATATAGTTTCTTGGTTTGGGTTCGTAAATAAAACGTAAAATCAAGCAAAGCACCCCAACATAAGGGGCTATGTATGGGAATATGGGAAGGCTGGCTTCATAAATGGCCACTCTTGTCAAAAGGTTCGATTCAGACAGGTTAGCATTTCGGGGTCCGGATCCCTACATGATTGCTCTTCAAGCAGTTTGTACTTTTTATTCCACTCTAATCTATATCATTCAGAAACAGGCCCCATTCTGTGGCGGTCTGCTGCCTCCGCTGCCTCTGCAGTTATTATAGATCCGTGGGTGGTGCTCGCTAGCTCTACTAGCAGCAGCTCAAAATGATAGGGCTGAGGGCCGCCATCTGCCCCCTCTCCCTCAACCTCCGGTGAGGACGGTGGACCTCATATACCTCCAGACCGCACAGAAGCTGTAGAGCTGGCGTGTGTGTGATCACTCTCCATCTTTGTCACAGCCAATGCTGATGTCAAGTGTCAGCCTAGACCCGCCCAACATTCACCCCCGCCTGTCCCCTTTAGTCCTCCAGGCTACGCCCATTTGGAGGGAGATTTGAAAAGAAAATGTTAGTGACAAAAGCCTCGAGGAGGGAGGGTGAGAAAACATAACTTGCCGCTTTATGTTGTAATTTGTTTCTACATCCAGAACATTTGTCTGAGGGTGATAAGCTGCTGTTATGCTCCTCTCGATGTGCATGAGGTCACAAAGGGCAGAGTTAAGCTGAAAACAAGTACATTCATTTAGTCCATGAGATGTGAGAATAATTCATAAAAACGCAGTATACCTCATCGACAAATTCACGTCCCTGATCAGAGAGGATACGTCTTGGGCACCCCAACCTATAAATGACTGAACACAACTTCTGCGCCACTTCAGCAGCAGACTTACTTTTCAAAGGGAATGCTTCCACCCATTTAGAAAAATAATCTGTTACAGTGAGAATATATTGGTATCCATCTGGGGTAGTGGGCAGTGGCCCCGTCAAATCTATTCCCACCAACTCCCAGACCGCAGACACCTAAGAAGTTACACAATTAAACACTGTATTTATGATGTGAAAAGTGCAGCAGCGAGACAGAAAAAGTACTTTTATGTTTTGCAGAGGCGCCGTAGCTGCCACAGGCTTCCCCTCACGCTGACATTTGTCACACTCTGATACCTTTAAAAAACATAAAATATTTTACATAATTACATTACTTTTCATAATGACATATATATTTATCAAATCATACCCATTTGTCAATTTGGACAGTCATGCCATGCCAGTAAAATCGGGAGCACAGGGCATGACGTGTTTTTACCATGCCTGTGTGCCCGCCCATCGGAGAGGAGTGAAATTCTTTTAAAAGCTTCCAGGTCTCCTCTCGATCTTTAATCGCTCTTCTGTTTTTATAGAAAAGCTCTCCATCTGCAGAAAATATCCAAATAAACCTAAAACAAATACATTGTGAAATAATGCTTTAATTAGAATAATATACTTACTCTTAATAGTAAATTTCTCAGCATATCTTTTTAAGTTTCGTTTCTGGCCTTTAGAAAAGCCGTCTGGGTATTTCTTCTCAGTTAAAAATGTGAAAATTTCGTTCCACTTATTCTGCATCTTTGGTCAATTCAATATAAATGTGCAAACAAATCATAAAGGGGTGTGACAGATTTTGATGTCAAAAAGGCAGGGGTCAAAAACCAAGGGTCAATGAGCAGGATGTAAGAAGGTGGCGGTCAAAGAGGATCGAGAGCCTGCAAGACAAGAAAGGACACATTGTTACGAACCTTTTACTGTTCTGTCTGTGCAGCAGGGCACAACTAGTGAAAAGAAATTTATGAAAAAAATAGAATTATTTCCGATAATAATCTCCATTGTCAGTCAAGTAAATAAGTAATATTTATTTATATAGCGCCTTTCATAGATCAGAGTCACAAAGCGCTTTACAATTGTTGTGAGCATTTGTCTCTTACTCCAGAGAGAGAAGGGAGTGAGGTCTTCATGTCAACGTTCAGTCTAAGTCTAATTGTGAGAGTATTTACACAAATTATGAGGATGTATAGTAGCTGCTCAGCTCACAATCAAACCTCGACAGGTTTGTTAAGTTTGAACTCTATACCTAATATAGATTGATGAAAAGCCCTTGGTTAGACTGCTACAGCTTTCAGTCAGAATTATATTGCAGCGATTAAGCTACATAAAGACATAAGCTTGACCGAAAACATTTGTACCACATTATTACTTTTTATGAAACCAATATCACCGCAGAACATTTACGCAGGATTACGCTGCAATTTCTATTTCATTATTTGACTAGATCAACATCTAGCAATTATATTCCAAACTTATATTTTAGTCATCAAAATACACCAGTGTAATTGTATTGTAGGTAAAGAAAATCACTTGTAGTGTGTTGTTTGATTTGTTCACATTTTACTTTTGTGCAAAACCAACGTGCATTATAACGCAAGGGAAACTTTAAATCAGTGAGTTTTGGTTGTGCTTCTGGAGGAGACACGGAGGAGAAATTCACTTGCAACAAGCTGGGGATGGTCCTGGACGTGCGTCTATGGTCCTTGCTTGGTACATTATGACCAGGGGTGCACAAAAGTGGTACGCAGGTACACATGCGCGACAAATATCAGAAATGCTTACTATCACTTGAGTTAGTAAGCGCCCTTGCATACTTCACATAGACCAGTCAAATGCTCACAACAATTGTAAAGCGCTTTGTGACTCTGATCTATGAAAGGCGCTATATAAATAAATATGACTTATTTACTTGACTGACAATGGAGATTATTATCGGAAATAATTCTATTTTTTTCATAAATTTCTTTTCACTAGTTGTGCCCTGCTGCACAGACAGAACAGTAAAAGGTTCGTAACAATGTGTCCTTTCTTGTCTTGCAGGCTCTCGATCCTCTTTGACCGCCACCTTCTTACATCCTGCTCATTGACCCTTGGTTTTTGACCCCTGCCTTTTTGACATCAAAATCTGTCACACCCCTTTATGATTTGTTTGCACATTTATATTGAATTGACCAAAGATGCAGAATAAGTGGAACGAAATTTTCACATTTTTAACTGAGAAGAAATACCCAGACGGCTTTTCTAAAGGCCAGAAACGAAACTTAAAAAGATATGCTGAGAAATTTACTATTAAGAGTAAGTATATTATTCTAATTAAAGCATTATTTCACAATGTATTTGTTTTAGGTTTATTTGGATATTTTCTGCAGATGGAGAGCTTTTCTATAAAAACAGAAGAGCGATTAAAGATCGAGAGGAGACCTGGAAGCTTTTAAAAGAATTTCACTCCTCTCCGATGGGCGGGCACACAGGCATGGTAAAAACACGTCATGCCCTGTGCTCCCGATTTTACTGGCATGGCATGACTGTCCAAATTGACAAATGGGTATGATTTGATAAATATATATGTCATTATGAAAAGTAATGTAATTATGTAAAATATTTTATGTTTTTTAAAGGTATCAGAGTGTGACAAATGTCAGCGTGAGGGGAAGCCTGTGGCAGCTACGGCGCCTCTGCAAAACATAAAAGTACTTTTTCTGTCTCGCTGCTGCACTTTTCACATCATAAATACAGTGTTTAATTGTGTAAACTTCTTAGGTGTCTGCGGTCTGGGAGTTGGTGGGAATAGATTTGACGGGGCCACTGCCCACTACCCCAGATGGATACCAATATATTCTCACTGTAACAGATTATTTTTCTAAATGGGTGGAAGCATTCCCTTTGAAAAGTAAGTCTGCTGCTGAAGTGGCGCAGAAGTTGTGTTCAGTCATTTATAGGTTGGGGTGCCCAAGACGTATCCTCTCTGATCAGGGACGTGAATTTGTCGATGAGGTATACTGCGTTTTTATGAATTATTCTCACATCTCATGGACTAAATGAATGTACTTGTTTTCAGCTTAACTCTGCCCTTTGTGACCTCATGCACATCGAGAGGAGCATAACAGCAGCTTATCACCCTCAGACAAATGTTCTGGATGTAGAAACAAATTACAACATAAAGCGGCAAGTTATGTTTTCTCACCCTCCCTCCTCGAGGCTTTTGTCACTAACATTTTCTTTTCAAATCTCCCTCCAAATGGGCGTAGCCTGGAGGACTAAAGGGGACAGGCGGGGGTGAATGTTGGGCGGGTCTAGGCTGACACTTGACATCAGCATTGGCTGTGACAAAGATGGAGAGTGATCACACACACGCCAGCTCTACAGCTTCTGTGCGGTCTGGAGGTATATGAGGTCCACCGTCCTCACCGGAGGTTGAGGGAGAGGGGGCAGATGGCGGCCCTCAGCCCTATCATTTTGAGCTGCTGCTAGTAGAGCTAGCGAGCACCACCCACGGATCTATAATAACTGCAGAGGCAGCGGAGGCAGCAGACCGCCACAGAATGGGGCCTGTTTCTGAATGATATAGATTAGAGTGGAATAAAAAGTACAAACTGCTTGAAGAGCAATCATGTAGGGATCCGGACCCCGAAATGCTAACCTGTCTGAATCGAACCTTTTGACAAGAGTGGCCATTTATGAAGCCAGCCTTCCCATATTCCCATACATAGCCCCTTATGTTGGGGTGCTTTGCTTGATTTTACGTTTTATTTACGAACCCAAACCAAGAAACTATATGTTGTGGGGTCCATATAGTTACAAAATTCTAAACTCTGCCACAATAACCTGCGGCCACTGCATCTTTGTCCCCGAGGGAAAACTTGTGCTGCATGTAAACCCCGAAGGCTTTTTGGATAGAAATGATACCCCAATGTGCGCAAAAGAGGGTAATTTAACACACGCTCAAACATAAAGTAGTATTTATTGTACACAAGTACAATAACCAATTTACAATGAAATTGCACACGATATAGAACTAGTCATACTAACTAAAGTCCTAAGCTAAATTCAGCTAATCTAACAATAAAAGCAACTAACTAATGATTAAAACTACAATATTCAACAACAACGCTATCACCCTTTAAGTGCCAGAGGTTTTTCTCTAAAACGCTCGATTTTGACTCGATTTTTTATTTATTTCAAAAAGCTATAACTTAAAAGTGATAAGAGATAAAGGCTTTCTGTAAATTAGAAAAATATTAAGGATGGTCCAAAGTTTATGGAGAGAACAAATCCACCCATCTAAATTGCATATTATGACGTCATATGGCGTTAGAAATTGTGGATTTTAGAATTTTTATACAATATTTTTATTTTTCTAACTGACAGACATATTGAACATATTGTGTGTTCATATTGATGAACACACACAGAGCACACACTGTAACTTTGAATATGTTCAGGGAAATAGTAAAAAATACAATCATGATCATAGACTGTATATATTAACGGACAGAGTCACGCCAATCTCCGCCGTTCTAACTAATGGGCCAAAAAATGTGCTCTACTGGAGCAATCCAAAATGGCCGCGAGTGGTCCCGCCCACAAGAAAATTGTGAAAAAATGCATCTGCGCATGCGTCAGCCGGCGCAAGCTCCATTGATTTGAACAAGAGACTTCAAAAATTCACAGCGACTAAACTAGAGTGGTCCAAAAAAATCACCCCCCTCAGCATTGACACACATGTGGAACGGAGCTTTGGGCCAAGAGCCAACTTTTGGACCATCCTGTAAAGACGTTTTTGAGAGGTCTGCCAATGCTATATGTTAGAATTGGCTAATTCTTCTTCTGGGTCCACCCCCATCGGCCCGGGGTGGTATTGCAAGCATGTCAACGGCAGCGCACGTCATTTTGGCCACTTTTGAGCCGGGAACCACCCTCACTGATCATGATGCTGCTGTGAGCAGTCTCCCCAGACGCGCGCCTCAGGTGAAGTGCGTCACCGCGACCCTCCTCTGCTCTCCCTCTCATCTCCACTGCTCGCTCGCTCTCTCATCTAACACACACAAGACAAGGCTTCTCCAACACGTTACTGATGATTGGTAACTGGTGATTACGGGAGGCATGAAAATGCATCTGTGGGAAGTACTATTAGCGGAGACTTTAGTGGAGACTTTAGCGGAGACTTCAGCGGAGGCTGGAGGTCGCGGCGCGGTGCGCCGACGTGAGTTCCAGGCTTGTTTTCCACAAATCTAGCCTGTCTCCGAACCTCCCAATGACAGCCCTGACTCTGAGAAACACTGTTCCCACTGCTGACTCTGTGTAAAGTGTCTAAAGTTAGTGTTTGGTGCGGTACATCACTCGCATGCTGCCTCGCAGCTGCACTCGCTTCGCTGTTTTCCGCTCTGATTCAACGCGGTCTTGCTTGAATATTTTGTATGGAAGCATGACGTTTTTGGGGCCAGGGAGGTTGTATGAATGAATTTTGACACTCAGTTGGACACACTCGGCCGTTTTTAACAGTACCTCAGCTTGTCGACTTAAGCCGACCGTGGCGCCTAGAGGGTTGACACTACACAATTATCTATAATACGAACAGCTAGGCTAATAAAAATCTACCTAAATGCTATAACTAATCGCAAACCTGACAATCGATGAACATACTCTCTGCTATTCCTTCTCCAACTCGCTACGGGGGCGTGAACGAGACTGGGCCGTTTATATACCTCAGAGCAGCAGGGCATCTGACGTCAGAAGCCACTGCAGACGTCAGCTACCACAGCTGCGCCAATATTGGCGCCAGATTCAAAATTCAAATGTAGTAAATACATGTCGCCAGCAGATGGCGCCTCACTGACGGTTTTAGGCAGAAAGTTGATCTTTCAACTAATTTGCACTAAAGTGACAAAATCATGACCAGGATATGTACACAACACTATTGGACACTCATTTATACTGTTTATCAGCACACACAAAAATGTCAATGTCTAATGGTGCTTTCAGACCGGCCACGCTGAAACGCACGTTCTCTAGTTTTCTGATGCAGGGGTCTTCAGACCAGAGGTCCTGGCGTGCGCCGGATGTGCCGGAAGTAGCCGGCGGGCTCTGATGCTAACAGAGTTTAGCTAGCGGCTTCTTGTGTACAGATCTTCTCCAATAATGCAGCTTTGCAGCATGTCTGTGTTCAGAGACCTTCCACAGACTTTATATAACAGTAGTATATGCTCACGGAGGTGCGCTATACGTTTATTTTATTATTAAACGGTACTTCCGTATGTCCCCCATTGTCAACCCTGGTTTAGTCCTGATGTAGCTCCTGTTTTGGCTGTTTACGACTTTCAGTCTGCTCGCTCAGACCGCTAATGTCCCCGTGACCACTTTGCGGCTCTCTGATTGGTTGCTGCACAAACGTCCCGAGGAAAGATTGTGCAAAATTCATCTCCTGCGTTCCTCCCCTTTGTACATTCCAAGACGCTCGTGCGTTTTGACGCTCGAACGCACGTCACCATTGACTTTGCATTGAAAGCCGACGCAACTCATAATCCGATCAGAACGCGCCATAACCAGTCGCAACAAAAGGCTTCTCCATTATCTCTTACTTTGTATTCACCAAATGATGACACTCTCTCTCTCTTGCAGAGCTTTGATGAAGGTGGTCAATGATCAGCAAAATAATTGGGACGTCTACTTGGAGGCTACTTTGTTTTCACTTCGATCAAAGCCCCAAAGCTCGACCGAACACACTCCGTTCAAACTGATGTACGGCAGAGAGGCAGTGCTCCCCGCAGAGGTCCCTGTGGATATTCCTGATTATGAAGAGTTTGTCTGCAAAAAATGCCAAAAAGGTATGTCGCTCCTCTCCTGTCTTTCTCCTAGTGTTATGGTGGTCCTCTCCTGTCTTTCTCCTAGTGTTATGGTGGTCCTCTCCTGTCTTTCTTCTAGTGTTATGGTGGTCCTCTCCTGTCTTTCTTCTAGTGTAATGGTGGTCCTCTCCTGTCTTTCTTCTAGTGTTATGGTGGTCCTCTCCTGTCTTTCTTTTAGTGTAATGGTGGTCCTCTCCTGTCTTTCTTCTAGTGTAATGGTGGTCCTCTCCTGTCTTTCTTCTAGTGTAATGGTGGTCCTCTCCTGTCTTTCTTCTAGTGTTATGGTGGTCCTCTCCTGTCTTTCTTCTAGTGTAATGGTGGTCCTCTCCTGTCTTTCTCCTAGTGTTATGGTGGTCCTCTCCTGTCTTTCTTCTAGTGTTATGGTGGTCCTCTCCTGTCTTTCTTCTAGTGTAATGGTGGTCCTCTCCTGTCTTTCTTCTAGTGTTATGGTGGTCCTCTCCTGTCTTTCTTCTAGTGTTATGGTGGTCCTCTCCTGTCTTTCTTCTAGTGTTATGGTGCTCCTCTCCTGTCTTTCTTCTAGTGTAATGGTGGTCCTCTCCTGTCTTTCTTCTAGTGTTATGGCGGTCCTCTCCTGTCTTTCTTCTAGTGTTATGGTGGTCCTCTCCTGTCTTTCTTCTAGTGTTATGGTGGTCCTCTCCTGTCTTTCTTCTAGTGTAATGGTGGTCCTCTCCTGTCTTTCTTCTAGTGTTATGGTGGTCCTCTCCTGTCTTTCTTCTAGTGTTATGGTGGTCCTCTCCTGTCTTTCTTCTAGTGTTATGGTGGTCCTCTCCTGTCTTTCTTCTAGTGTAATGGTGGTCCTCTCCTGTCTTTCTTCTAGTGTTATGCCGGTCCTCTCATCTCGTCTGTCATTCTCCTACATCTCCATATTTTCAATATTTATTTATTTGAGCAGTCTTAATACTGCACAGAAGGAGTGGGCTGAAGAAAAAAGCTTATGAGCACTGCCCCCAAAAGACAATTCCAATCAAACTTTACACTTTACACAATGAAAAAAGTACATAACAAGGATATGGAGCCACAAAACAAACTACATCTGTACATCCTGGATTATGGATCAACCATTTACAGAGTAAGGAATAGATCATACAATTGGCTATGACATACTGAGATTTCAATTTGGAGAGACGAGAAAACAGGAAGTTGAGTATTTTATTGAAAGGAGGTTTGGCGCCCTAGGTCCCGGTGCGGCCTTCGGATCGGAAAGGCTCCTGCGATGGAGCGCGCACAATCCCCCGGGACCTAGGCACTGGTGGCGGCATTTGGCAGCGGGAAGCAGATTGAAGGCAGATTGGAGGCAGGGTGAAGAGGAGGAGGAGGGGAGGCGGTGGTTGCAAGGCTTCAGAGGTCGAGAAGTGAGAGTTTCTCCGTTTTTATGCGGCTGGGGTAGTCGGTACGGATGATTGGAAGGGGGCGTCTGCTGAGCGATAGGCTGGGGATGCGAGCCGCCTGGAGGGGGTAATTTTGGTTAACGTCTACCAAATTGAATTTTCGCTGGCTGCATTTCAATTTGGAGAGACGAGAAAACAGGAAGTTGAGTATTTTATTGAAAGGAGGTTTGGCGCCCTAGGTCCCGGTGCGGCCTTCGGATCGGAAAGGCTCCTGCGATGGAGCGCGCACAATCCCCAAAAAGGCTGCGTGTTGATGGAGTTTTTGAAGCCTGGTTTGGAGGGGACAGACGTCGTGACTACTCTATTCTGTGACCGCTATCGCTAAGCTGTGACCGCTATCGCTATGCTGTGACCGCTATCGCTATATGCTGTGACCGCTATCGCTATATGCTGTGACCGCTATCGCTATATGCTGTGACCGCTATCGCTATATGCTGTGACCGCCAGCGCAATGCTGCTAACCATTTTTTGCTATATGCTGTGACCGCTAACCATTTTTTGCTATATGCTGTGACCGCTATCGCTATATGCTGTGACCGCTAACCATTTTTTGCTATGCTGTGACCGCTATTGCTATATGCTGTGACCGCTAACCATTTTTTGCTATGCTGTGACCGCTATCGCTATATGCTGTGACCGCTAACCATTTTTTGCTATGCTGTGACCGCTATCGCTATATGCTGTGATCAGCCGGACATTGCAGCGGAGTTATTTTTGCGCGCTGGGACGTGAGCGCTCGCATCACGATCGACCAGCCGCTGCGGCAGAGTTATCTTTGCGTGCTGGGAACGTGAGCGCTCGCATCACGTTCCGTCAGACGCTGCGGCAGCGGAGAGTGTTTGAGAAAGTGCGTGCCGCCACCAGAATCTTATTGCTTCACTTACTTTGCTTCGTATTGCTTTGCTGGGAGCTTACGAGGAAGCCAGTAGACGTTGTGCAGCCAGGATAGCGGACGCATCTGGCCTGATGTAGGCGGAGAAAGCCGAAGAGGACCAGCGCCCCAGCTGTTGCAGAGAGGTGTGGGGGAGCCCCAGCGAGGCTGCGCGCGTGGCAGCGCCTATCCTGAAGGAGTGGGCTGTATAGAGCTGGGGAGACAAATTGCAGAGGAGCAGTAGGGATCTTAGCTGAGCTCTGAACCAGGTTGCTGTCATGGGAAGGTTGTCTGGAGAGAGAATTAGGGGTCCGTTAAAATCTCCTTTTTGCAGCGGGGGCGAGTGTACGCCTCATGGACCTGTAGGGGCGAGCTATATTATGTTGCAGGCGCCTTGGTCTTTGAATGTTTGAGATGAAGGTTGAAAGGGTCAGGGGACATTATGTTGGGTGAAAAAGAGCGACCTTTGTGTAATGCTTCCACTACGTTGAGATTATCACGCATGACGGAGATCCTCTTTCTCTGCCACGTGTGATTCCGCAGCGCGCAGGCCACGACCACTGGGAATATCTCGTGTAGGGCAGAGGAGATGCTCCGGTGGAAAGTAGCGGCCATGGCCCGGCAACCCAATGGTCCTGGAAGAACCCCCCAAAACCCACGGAAGGGGCACGTCCGTGTAGAGGCGGAGACCTGTAGGGGCAGAGAGACATATCGGAGAGGGCCATTGATGTTGCAGGCGCCCTTACGCTTAGAATCTTGGGTTGGAGAGTAGATAATCAGGATAGTAGGATGGACGGGAAAGCCGTGTCTCGGACCGCATGAAGGTTGAGTGAGCAGTAGTGAAACGCTTATGCAGAGAAGCCATAGAAGGCGAGCAGGAAGATGCTGCGAGGAGGGCAGACATGTACTTGGAAGATGAGCCGGAGTTCAGAGCTGCTGCAGGATGGGCAGCATGATGGGGAGCCTGCGATCAGAAGAGTGAAGAATACAGGTATGGATGCCTTTGATTAGGAGTCCGATTGACGGCTCAGCGCAGCTACTCGGCCAGCTGCATCTGATAGAATCAGGAGATTAGGTAGAGAGATTAAGCATGACCGCCGAAGCGACCCTGGGAGCATAGGTACGAGGCCAGCGCAGCGCGGCGTACTCAGCCGGGCAGCATCCATTAGAAACAGGATAAGCTTCTGAGAGAGTGGGTTGCAGCAGTAGCAGTAGCAGCAGCAGCAGTAACCTCAGATAATAACAGCGATAACCTGTATCAAGCCGCGGCAGCAGCAGCAGCAGCAGCAGCAGTAGCAGCATCCTTAGAGATTAACAGTAATAATCCTGTATCAAGCCACAGCAGTAGAATGTTGTCGTAGCTGACCAGTGTTTCAGTAAAAGAGATGCAAGTGAAAAGAGATGGCAAGTAAATGAAGCAGCAGCAGCAGTAGTAGCAGCAGTAGCGGTATGAAGCAGCAGCAGTAGCAGTAGCGCAGAAGCAGTATGGAGCAGCAGCAGCAGCAGCAGTAGCCGTATGAAGCAGCAGCAGCAGTAGCAGCAGCAGCAGTTGCAGCATCCGTAGATAATAACAGCAATGATCCTGTATCAAAGCCACGGCAGTAGAATGTTGTTGTAGCTGTTCAGTGTTTTAGTAAAAGAGATGCAAGTGAAGAGAGATGGCAAAGTAAATGAAGCAGCAGCAGCAGTAGTAGCAGCAGTAGCAGTATGAAGCAGCAGCAGCAGCTGCAGCATCCGTAGACAATAACAGCAATAATCCTGTATCAAAGCCACAGCAGTAGAATATTGTTGTAGCTGTTTAGTGTTCAGTAAAAGATGCGAAGTGAAGAGAGATGTCAAAGTACATGAAGCAGCAGCAGCACGGCAGCAGTAGCAGTATGAAGCAGCAGCAGCAGCACAGCAGCAGTAGCAGTATGAAGCAGCAGGAGCAGCAGCACCACAATGCGATTCATACGAACAACAGACGTGTCACGCCAGCGTGCGCCGCTTGTCTCCGTGAGCCAGGTTACATACGTGTCTGAAAGAGCCGAGCCGTAGAGACAGGTGCAGCCTGGGAGCCCGCGGAGCGGCAGCGGCAGGAACAGCAGCAGCGGCAATGTAGTAGGAGGAGCAGCAGGAGCAGGCAGCAGGGACAGACAGCAGCAGGAGCGGCAGCAGGAACAGGCAGCAGGAACAGGCATCAGCGGGATCAGGCATCAGTAGGAACGGCAGCAGGGACCGGCAGCAGCGGCGGTCAGAGAACCATGCCCATGGTTGTTTAACAGCCTGAGGAAATAAATCAACCCGAATCCGAAACATTCCCATGCGAATAACAGACGTCCCCTGGAGCCATCTTGCTGCTATGGTTATGGCAGAGACGCATGAACGATCACTTTTCCATGCGTTCATTAGCTCCAACACCACTTCACGGCCATTGCAGATTCACATTGGGCCCTTTTTCGTTCTGCTGCACTTTCAAAATGCAACACTGCAGTTTAGTTACCTAATTTAATACCAGTGACCTAGCTATTTAAATGCATGGCCCCTCCTTCCTCCCGCAGATAGATGAATTTAATACGATCATTTACCATAGTGACCTGCGAGTAATGAGATTAATGCTGTAAAGATGGCGCCGTGGCAAGAGCTCTGGTGTGTGCCGTCTGGAGCACAAGGGGTAGTCTTGCAAATTATTTTCCACGTGGTTTACTGCAGTGGCAGAACATGAATCTGAATTAATCACATTGCTCCTCTTATATCCCTCAGCCGATAGAGATTGACGCCATTTAACATGCATTGCCCCTCAGTTAGCTCAGACACATGTGGAAACGAAGCCTGCAGACCAAGCACAGGGCGAAAAACCAACCTTGCAGCCCAGACTCAGGGATTAATCCGTCCGCGGTCAGCACACTCACATGCCAGGAGACTTGGGGAAAGCAACGGGACAACGTGGCACCGCCAGACCGTCTGCGCGCGGCAGCAGACCACGAGGAACGAGCAGCACAGAACCCGCGGAGGGCCCCGCGGAGCAGCCCGCAGAAAGAGCCCGCAGTGGAGGAGAGCAGTGGAGGAGAGCAGTGGAGACACGCGAACCACAGCAGGTGCCGGGACGCGGAGGAGGAGCAGACCACAAGCAGCCAGACTGAGGACAGCCGGGCCACGCGCACGAGTAGCGTGAGTAGACGAAAACGATTCCTTGCAAGGCTTCAGAGGTAGCTGTTCAGTGTTTCAGTAAAAGAGATGGTTGCAAGGCTTCAGAGGTCGAGAAGTGAGAGTTTCTCCGTTTTTATGCGGCTGGGGTAGTCGGTACGGATGATTGGAAGGGGGCGTCTGCTGAGCGATAGGCTGGGGATGCGAGCCGCCTGGAGGGGGTAATTTTGGTTAACGTCTACCAAATTGAATTTTCGCTGGCTGCATTAGACTCACTGACCAGAGAGCGAGGGACCCGGGAGAGCGAGGGACCCGGGAGAGCGAGGGACCCGGGAGAGCAAGGGACCCGGGAGAGCGAGGGACCCGGGCCCATGTTATTTCAGTCAGATCTCCAGAAAGCAAGTGACAAAATGCGACCATATAATTATTGTAGATAGTCTAACAGGACCAATTACACTGGGTAACAAAAAAATATTTTTTGAAAATAGTCCAGGGTTTTCAGCTGAATTAGACTAATGTTGATGCTCTGAGTCCGAAAATGACCTTGGTTTTGCTCAATCAGGTCAGGATTTTTTACTACAGAAATATTTTTTTTAATCGATTTTGCGGAAAACACACATTTCTGCGGATCATCAGCTGAGAAACCCTTGACGTTTTTTCCGTTTTCCCCAAGAAATAAAAGTCAACGTATCCAAAGTCATTCAGTTTTTATTTACTCCATCAAATTTGATAATCAGAATTCATAATAACGTAGACGTACATAATCCGTAACACTATGGCTGTATCTCAAAAAGTTGACCTGATAGAGCAAAATGCATGTGATATTCGGACTCAGAACACCAAAATTAGTCTAAATCAGTTGAGAAACCCCTGACCATTTTTTGGCTGTCAACTTGTGTTATAAACCTCTTATGCTCTCCAGATGTCATTGCCAACCTCAGAACAATAGCAATCAGAGTTCCCTATTTCTTTTTATATTTATATATTTATATATATTAGTACAGAGTATGAAGTAACCCTATGCAGTGTAAAGTGGGCCTGTTAAAGACGGCAGTGACCCCTTATCAATAGACCCCCAACCAGGTTCCCTTTCAGGTTCTTTTGTATGAAACTTTTAATGTTCCTACCTTTCTTTACTGTGTGATCTGAAAAAAAAATGCATAGCAAGTGCTAATTTTACATTAAACATACAGGAAGTCCTAGTATAAAATGTAAAAATTCCATGGATCTATAGTAATAACTAGATTGGGTATTACTAGTTTATTGCTGTCCCACCCATGTCCACCATAATCCAGACGATGCCCAAATATAGCAGAGTTCTGCTAATCTTTCGGTCCCTGTGAAGTCCCATGCGCTACTGAGCACAAGCCTTTCATTTGAATAGGGCGCCATCTTGGATCACCGGGGCTTGGACATTTCTCATTTCTATCACCATCAATGTTAAAATGTATAATGATCTGACATGTCTTGGTTTTGTTTGTTACAGATCTACAGAATGGTGTTCAACTGTGATCAGTGTAGAAACCTGTTTGGAAAAGGTTTTATTACAAAAGGAGTTCTCAAGGTTTGTGATCAGAGTTTTAGACGAGAGTAATCTCAAGGATCATCAGAGGATCATCAGAGGATCCACTCAGGAGAGGAACTATTTGTCTGTGGAAACAGGGCTGGACTGGGACCAAAAAACGGCCCGGGCATTTTTGCCTCCTTGACGGGCCGGCCGTTTCTTTTTTCAGGTTTTTATTTTTTTTATTTTTTTTAACGGTTATTTTTACAGTATGCGGAAGCACATACTGTAGGGGCTCAGGATAAATGCTGTTTCAACAATTATAATAAAGTGCAATGATCTACCTTGAGATTAATAAACCTGTCACAACGGAGTGAGGGAGACGGACACAGCAACATATTGTTTGTTACAGGGATGAGGGACATTTCAAAGAAGTCTGAAATGTGAACAAATCAAACAGATTTAATGACAGCCATTGGCTGATGTTTTACAAAATTTTCCTTTTGGGCACAACCACATGAACTGTTAATGCAAGAGGAAAATGTACGTACCCCAGCTTTAGTTTAGCGAGTTTAGTTGCGCTTTGGGAAGAGACACAAGGAAGACACAGACTGTTTGTTGCAGTGTTGTATTCATTGCGTGAACTGGTTACTCAAAGTCACGCACAGCATGGTCCTGTGGGTGTATAGGGTCCAGGTACATGGCCATGTTATAGCTGCGCGCTGCCGCTTTGCTGTCGAAGCGGCTCACAGGCAGCATGAGCCGCTGTCAAAAGCGGCCGCAGCTGCTCCAAAAGGCATTGGAATCCCTTTCATACAGCAATCAACAGAAACATTTCTTAACAGATATACACATTTCTCAAACTTATATTATTCTATGAGGCTCACAGGCCAGCCCAAATATGGGCATTGCCCGGTACACCACAATAAATACATTAAAACCTGTGAGAAGCAGGTGTGAAGACGCAGCACCTGGAACAAAGTGAAGGAGACAGAGCTGAGGCTGCATCATGTGAACCCAGAGTCAGACTCTACAGGATCACACTTCAGTCTTAACCCTGTGCTGCAGCTGCTGAGCTTTACAGACCAAACACTTATTGTGGATTTGAACATCTTTACTTTGTGTCTGGAGACTCGGATACATCATGTAAGTAATCTTTATTTATACACCGCCTTTCACAGACCAGAGTCACAAAGCGGTTTACAATTGTTATATTATTATTATTATTTATATTTTTTAATGTTTAAAAATGTTTGTCTGAAAGAAAAATCTTATGGTTCCTTTTAAAGCTTTAAGATAGAGTGGGGACATTTTTACTATAATTCCCTATGATATTTTATGGACATTTTTTAACAGTTATGGACCAATGGCTCTGTGTTTATTAGGCCTGAGCCCTGAACGGGGTAAGGGCCTATTGCTTTCACAATGGTGAATGCCAGGGGTTGCGGTGCGTGAAGGAGGCATCCGGGAACTTCATTCTTACAAATGGAACTGCAGATAAAAACTGTTGTAAAAGACGCTGAAACAATAGTGAGTGGCCACACATATAGTAAGTGCGTGTCTGTTCCTTTGTAGACTATGCAGCCACTATATGCTATCCTACTGTTCATTCCGTCTTCTTCTTCTGGCTTCCGCCACATTTTGGCACTTTTCAACTCAACGCTTTCACAAAATTCAGCAAATCATACATCATTACGACCGGCTTCACAGTCTCATTATTACTTATTACTTTTCACACTTCCACCTTTTGCACTTTTTCAATTATTTACAAAAGTACAAGCACTTTTTCCCATTGACTTACATTGGACCAGTACAACAGATTGCTCCCATACAACACATTACCACACTAACAATTCATTACCACAGATACAATACATTACAACATCTTACAACACTTACAGCACCTTTCGATGTACAGATGTGAACATACTGCTTGTGAGGATTGACTCCTCCCTCACAATGGGAGCTCACTCTCCTGTGGGCTGTTACCTTCAGGCTCCACCCTATGGCCTGAACCATGGCAGGTCCAGAAGAAGATTCATTTGAGTTTATATTGTTTAAGTATATATGAGCATAAGTTTTAATAATAATAATTATTAGTAGTACTAGTAATATGCTATTATTATTTATATTTCCATAGTTTAACTTTATCCTTAAACTAGTTTCAGTAAATGTGTTTGTTTTGTGTAGTCTTGTTTACCCCCCTTTAGTTGATAGTTGGTCTGATCACCCAGCTTAAATGTTCCCCTGGTGTGTCTTGTGTTAGGTCAGGTCAGTGTTTTGTCATGTTCAGTTGATCTTTGATTATGGCCTCATTTATTTGCATTGTTTAACCCATTTTATGGCTAATTAAAAAGCCTTGTTAATCAACATTTTGTGTGTTTCCTGCTGCACCATCGGCCCCTTACACTGCTGCTAATGTACAGATGTGAACATACTGCTGCTAATCTACAGACGTTAACATACTGCGAATGTACAGACGTAAACATACTGCTACACTTGCACTAGAATACACAGTACTTTATACTTGCCTCTTATTTTGCCAAATGTTAAATCTATTATTTTCAAGATGGAGATTTTATACTTGTTATTGATGCTAGAGTTAGAGATTGTTTTATTTTAATTAGTATAGCTATTGTTCACTTAACGTGTGCCGTGTGCTCCTCTTTCCTACTGTTCAATAACTTGTGATGCAACACTGAAATTTCACTACTGTGGGACAAATAAAGGATCTCTTAATTTGAGGCTTTCGTTCAATTGTGTTGATACAACAAACATAATGCATCCAAAGCAATACAGTTTTACAAAAAGTGTTTAATTGAAAAATTCCCATGAGGTGGATTAATTAAACACAACAAAACATTTATTCCCAATAATTGAATATATTTACTTTGCAAATACAAAACTGATTTTGGGTCAAGCGGGATTCGAACCACATATCTTCGACTTTATAGTGAACTACCGACTGCTCCATGCAACTATTACTCAACTCGTATTCCTATGTGTTATTCACTTATGGAAAAGTAAAACATTGTGACATTAAGGCAAACCTGGATATATGAAACCTCAGTTTTACTAAAGTGAATTTTTTTATTTTTTTTTCATATGAAATACATTTGCTATATTTACGTACAGAACTGCTCCACATTGCGCGCACACACGTACGCACACAGCGACAGACGGGTGAAGCCGCGGATCACAAAGTATCTGTCAAAGTGATTCGATCCGAAATATATGAAGCACCTCAGTGAACAATCACGTGGTGTGGCCGCTACGCGAGGCTTCAAACGTCACCACATACGTCACACACGCCAAAACAAACTCCCCTTGATTACTCGGTACACGCTTTGAAGACTCTGCATGCTCAACACATCACTACCTGTCATGGTCCTGATGAAGATCTCAAAGCATCAGTTACACATTTGTGACGAGGTTTCTTATCTGCAAACTCAGCAGCGTTGGAGCGACAGTGAGAGCCAAAGAACCATCATAAACCTGTGATGGAAGAATAACTGCTGTCAGCTGCTCAACGAGGACGCTGCTGTAGGATCTGGGACATGCTTGGAGTCTGATTTGTACTTTACCAACTAGATCTGTGTGTGTGTGTAAATACTGTGAGAATAAAAACTTACACTTTTTACATATGTGAGTATATTATTATTACTCATGTTTCATTTTCTTTTCTATCTTTCTCACTTTGTTGAATTCTCGTCTTTCCTCAGTGTTGGAGTCAAAGCTTTACCTCGCTTCTTGAGAGTGTATGATTAAAAAAGTCTGACATGTGCTATAGAAAAGTGTGAGAGCCTGCCCCCTGAGAGAGGGCAGCTGTAAAGAGACCAGTGGGGGCGGCTCTCGGCTCAAAAGTGGCCAAAATGACGTGCGCTGACATGCTTGCAATACCACCCCGGGCCGATGGGGGTGGACCCAGAAGAAGAATTAACCAATGCTAACATACAACATTGGCAGACCTCTCGAAAACGTCCTTACAGGATGGTCCAAAAGTTGGCTCTTGGCCCAAAGCTCCGTTCCACATGTGTGTCAATGCTGAGGGGGGTGGATTTTTTTGGACCACTCTAGTTTACTTGCTGTGAATTTTTGAAGCCTTTCGTTCAAATGAACGGAGCTGCGCCGGCTGACGCATGCGCAGATGCGTTTTTTCACAATTTTCTAGTGGGCGGGACCACTCGCTGCCATTTTGGATAGCTCCAGTAGAGCACATTTTTTGGCCCATTAGTTAGAACGGCGGAGATAGGCGTGACTCTGTCCGTTAATATATACAGTCTATGAAAGAGACGCAGCAGAGACACAGATGAAGAACAGACTTTATTATTATTATTATTATTATTAACGTTTATTAAGAGGAATAGCCCCTTGAGATGAAGCAAATTCGTTTCCGAGGGGGTTCTCAAAATCAAATTAAAAAATAACAGTATAGTTCTAAACCTCTTTTATTCACCTGTGGTTCACCTTGGAGAGACCCATGAGGAAAATGCCGTTAGACTTATTAGATTTAAGCATGTTTATTGATTGAGCATGTTTTGCGCCCTAGGCCCGGGAGGGATGCTGTTGAGCACGGCGCTTGCTCGCGTGCATAATCCCCCCCCGGGGCCTAGGCACTGGTGACGGCAGAGGCAGTAGGCAAGCACGCTTCGATGAGAGAAGGAGGAGGTGGGGCGGCGGAGGCTTGCAGACTTCAGAAGGCCGGGAAGTGGGCGTCTCCGGCTTTTAACTTGCTGTCCTGGTGGTTATTGGTTGACTGGATGTGGGCGTTGCTGGTATTGATGAGTCGAGGAAGAGCAGCCTGTGGCCTGGGCAGCAGCAGCCGGGTCTACCACAGTGAACTTTCGCGAAAGCTCCATATCTTTGATCAGACTTTAGTGTCGTACTCAGACTGAGCTGCTCCTTACAACAGTCTGTAGAAGTCGGGGATTTCCCACTGGATGTTTTTGTCTGAAGGTGGGAGCAGACTTCTCTACTGTCTCCATGGCGACGCTGAGGAGAGCTTCTG